GGAGTAGGGTTCAGCATGGGATAAGTACCTTCCATTGGTAGAATTTTCGTATAACAACAGTTTCCATGCTAGCCTGGGCATGACACCCTACGAGGCGTTGTATGGTAGGAGGTGTCGGACTCCTACCTGCTGGTCTGAGGTTGGAGATAAGGAGTTGTTTGGCTTGGACTTTGTCCAAGATACCACCCTGTAGATCCCGTTGATAAGGGAAAAGCTGAAGCAGGCACAGAATCGCCAGAAGAGTTACTATTATGTGAGGCATCGTCCACCGGAGTTTAGTGAGGGTGAGCACGTGTTTGTGAGACTTTCACCTGTCATCGGTGTTGGTCGAGCCCTCGGAGTAAGGAAGCTGAGCCCGCGATTCATTGGGCCCTACCAGATTCTTGGTAGAGTAGGACCTGTTGCCTACCGGCTTGCCTTGCCTCCGAACTTGGCCAACATCCACGACGTGTTTCACGTGTCTCAGCTTCGCAAATATGTAGCGGATCCTTCGTACATGGTGCAACCGGATGATGTGGAGGTTCGGGAGAACCTAAAGACTCTCGTCGGACCACTTAAGATTCTCGATCGTGGCGAGAAGCAGTTGAGGAGCAAGATCATTCTGATGGTCAAGGTGCAGTGGACTGGGAGAACTCCTGAGGAGTGTACTTGGGAGCGAGAGGACGAGCTTCTCTGGCAGTATCCCGACTTCCGAGACAGGTATGTTTCTGATTTTGAGGACAAAATCCTTAAAAAGGTGGGGTGAATGTAAGAACCTGCACCGTTAATTAAGGAAATTAATTAAATAAATGTGAGAATTAGGAAATAATTCCATAATTGACCCTAATAATTATTATGAGGCTTAATAATTATGGTAAGTGAGTAATAATACTGAAAGTCGCTTTTCTGACGAAAAGTGCAGATACCGGTTTTGCTACTCGGTATAAATGCGTACCGATGAAGTATCCCGAAAAATTATAATAAGTGCATGAATATTCCTAGAATAGTATATAGGACTGGTAAAACAAGTTTGAAGTCAAAATAATGAGAATTGATGTCATAACTAATACTGTGTCAGTGTCAAAACGCGTACCGAAAAAGTGTTGTGAAAAATTAATATAAAAATATGACAAATCCTAGAAAAATGGCTAGGTTCATAATCCCAAGTTTTAGATTAAAACGATAAGCGTAGCTATTAACGCTAATACTGTGCGATTAAACTTAAGCGCACCTATAAATACCAAGGGCACATGATCCTAGGTCAGAAAATCATAACTTGCGTGGGTTTTGTTTCTGAGCTTCTTGAGGAAGCCCCTTCTCCCATCTTCTCCCCTCCATTGAAGCTCCAAGAGAGCACCTTTCCACTTAGTTCCTTCACCAAAGTGACTTGTATGAGTGTGCTCTAGCCTTGGGTAGGTAAAAATCCAGCCATTTCTGAGTTGTGAGAGTTGTAGTGAGGGAGAAAGTTTCTGACTTTGGGGTTGTGAGGTGTGGTATACATCTCCATGCCATTTGAAGCTTCAAGGTGCCATTTTGGTTAAGAAAGGACCAAGCTTTGGTCACCATTTCATGGCTTGTGTAATCTGACTTCTTGGGACAGATTTGATAGCTCCAAGAGCACCTTGTTCTGCTGTGTTTGATCCTCCATAGGTATACCATGATCATTCCTCTTTAAATCCATGATTTTAGCTTGTTTTAGTAACTAAAAGAGGAAACTTTGATTAACTAAGTTGAGAGTTGTTAATCTATGCATGTTTAGTGTTTTTGAACTTCTATTTTTGAGAAAAATCGGACCTTGGATCATTGGGAACCTTTCCCACCTCGGATTATGCAGAATTTTGCTGCAAAATTTTGTTCTGCACGTGTGGGAATCGATTCCCTTCTGTTGGGAATCGATTTCCAAGTGCAGGAATGGATTCCCCATGTTTGGGAATCAATTCCTACCTGTGACAACAACGACCTAGTTTAGTAAAATCGTGATATCTCGAGCTCCAAAGCTCCAAATCGAGTGAGGTTTAGACCTATGTAAAACTAACACATAAGGCTACAATTATATAAAATTTCATAGCCATTGGATAAGTGATTTGGTCGTAGTGTTGGTTTGAAGTCACGACTTGATTATTGGAAATTCAGTTTGCAACAGTCACTTTACGAAAACTATAACCGGAGTTAGACAACTCCGATTGAGACATAAGATATATCGTTTGAAACCTTAAGATGTCTAGTTTAACATAGTAAAACTTAGAATATTTAATAAAGAGATGAAATTGCAATATTGAAAATGATTAAGTAATCAAGTATGGTTATTGATGATATTTCTGATATAAACAGACTGTGATTGTGCTGTTTGGTGACCTTGGGCCAGTGTGGACTCTTGGTTTGGACGGATAGCTTGAGAGGTAAGATTTCGTGTCCTCGATTTAGCCATTGTTGGTTCCACAATACTCCATGGGGGGATGGTTTATATGCATGATGTTGTTTTCATGTTTTGATTATTAAAATGCTATGGAGCTGTTAAGTGCAATTGCTTATGATATGTATGTGGTGTTTTGCCTAGATGGTAAGCCATGGGGTGATTCTGTGGGCAAGTACGGCATGGGCGCGTACTGTGTGGGTAATAAACATATTCCTGCACTTCTCTGATCAGTAGAATAGTTAAAACACACATGACAAGATTATCTGCTGCATTGCACTATTTTGGAACTTATATTGTTAAACTGCTTTTGAACTTATATTGCACATGTAAGTGAGCTTGGGGTGGAAGATCCTTGAGGACCCCTTGTCTAACTGAGATTTCTGTTTAGAGATCTCACCCCACGTTTGGGGCACCATTTTCAGGTTCATGTAATGTGGGGGTTGAGACCTCTAGTGGCATGAGGCCAGAGCTTAGTTGATTGATGTTTATCTATTATGCTGATTGTGCTGAGATGCTGGATATGCCTGTTGCTATTGTGTTATTAGCTTTATTATTATGATTTTGTTGTTGAGGCTATGTTGGGCTTGTTGCCTTATTTGGTGAGCATGGGGATTGTCCATGCCACATTGATTGACGATGTTTTAGCTTAGATTCGAGTTGTATAATCTATCAGGATATTCTCCGGACTACGTATTGTAGATCCGTGAGTATATACACATTTTATATATGAAGTTTTTTAGTATTTGTCGTTTTGCAATTCACATACAGGCAATGTTTTGGAAAAGAATTAAGTAATTCAACTTGGTAATGATAATGATGTCATAATTGAAAGAAAAAGTTATTCCGCATTTTTAAATTAAGTGTGGCTTAATACGATGACATGTTAACAAACCGGGTTAACACGGGGTGTTACAATCACCCTCCATTTGACTCAGACCATCGTCATCAGGGATGTGCGTCCCACCTCCTCCATTCCCATCTTGATGACTAGCTGGAGGTGGCGGTGGAAGTGGTTAATAAACCCTTGGTTTACCATGTTTTTAGGTCTAATTGTACAAGAAATACATCATTAATTGCATGAAAATTAGGGTTTTACATTGTAAAGTCACAAAGATTGAATATTTTGCTAACATCTTGTAATATCTCTTATTTCAAGGGATTTTAACATCCATGATGGCTTTTTTAGAGCCAAAGGAATGCAACAAGATGATTGGAAGCCTCAAAGAGGCAAGATTGCAAGAATTTACAAGCTGGAAGAGGACGTTTTGGCGTTCAAGAGAGCGTTCAAATGCTCTAATGAAGGAAAATAGAAAAATCCACTGGAAGAAGATGTTTTAGCGCACTCCAGAGTGCTAAAACGCTCCAAAAGCAACCAATCACCCTTCGAAGAGGGCGTTTTAGCGCCCCAACAACGCACTAAAATGCCCTGAGGTAGACAAGAATGCACTGGGAGGATGTTTTAGCGTCCAAACAGCATGCTAAAACGTCTATATGCGGTCAAATCCAAGCCCATGAAAGATTTCAAATCTGAATCAAGATGTGCACAAGATTTTACAAAGATTCGAAGAGAAATTAAAAGATACATTCTTATCTATAAATAGAAGGCCTAAGGACCAATTGAAGGGGAATTCAACACCAATCTAGAGAATTACACAGAGACTTAAGGGAGGAATCCTGTTGCGGAGCGTGGGAGCACTGAGGAACCAAGTCAACATCACACCAATGGAGGCTTGGGGTTCTCTTTTCTTTACTATTGTTTTTCAATTCAGTATGCTAGGCTAGAATTTTATGTAGTTAGGGGTAGATAAAACCCAATCAAATCCTTATGTTTATGAATTAAATTGTCTCTGAATTCTTTTCTTTTTATAATTGAATAAATTTATCTGTCTTTAATGCTTTCTATGAGTTTGCTCCTTATAGATTGATTTAGGGGAATTGTATGACAATAGGGATGTTGGTATATGAACCCTGACTTGGTAAATTTATCCACAATCCTTGTGATTTAAGGATAGACATAGGATAATTGTGCAATCTTTAAATTATTGATCTTAATGCATGTTTTCTTGTGGAATAATCGGAGAACTAGAGTTCTTTCAAGACCACATAGATGTAGGGTAACAAGGAATTGAGCCCTAATTAACTTAGAAATAATTGATTGGCAATATATTAAGAACGGATTCTTGACAGTTTAATTCATAGCATATAGAGGAGATTGGGGGAAGTCGAAACCCTAACTACGCTTGTTTTTAATCTTTAAACAATCATCATCTTTTCCAATTGTCTTTTTAATTCTGAAATTTTAAATTGCATGCTATTGCTTGTTTCAATTTCAATTCTTTCAAATCCAATTCTTGATTGTCCAACTAAACAGCGATTAGTGAACTAGTGATTGAAAACCACCTCAGACTATATTCAGAATGCAAATGCCTTCAGAGATGAAACAAGATCTTCATTCCGAAATCAAGAAGCTTCTATTCGGAACCTGGAAACTCAGATTGGCCAGCTGTCAAGACAGTTCGCGGAAAGAACCCAGGGCACCTTCCCAAGTAACACAAATACCAACCCAAATGCACAATGTAATTCAATAGTTACCATAAGCGGGATCATGATCCAACTTGTGGAAAAGCCGCTAGTTGAAAAGAAGAAAGAAGCTGAACCTGTAGCTGAAAAGGAGAAAGAAGAATACGCAGGAGAAGCCAAAAAGAGCAGTCTAGAAAAGAAGCTATTCAAATGGGAGAAAAAGAAAGCTCTAGACTGGCAACCAAAACTGGCAGATCCATCTCCTTATGCACGAGTTCCATACCCTCAGCGGTTGAAACAAGAAATCCAGAAACAACAATGCACCAAATTTCTGGATATCTTCAAAAAGTTGCAAGTGAACATTCCTTTCGCAGAAGCCCTGGAAAGCATGCCAAACTATGCAAAATTCATGAAGGACCTTCTGTCAAAGAAGCGCAATCTGAAGGAGTGCGAAACAGTGGCCTTAACTGAGGAATGCATTGCAATCATCCAGAAGAAACTTTCTCCCAAGCTGAAAGATCTAGGCAGCTTCAGTATTCCTATAGCCATAGGAAATATCGAAGTAGGAAAAGCATTATGTGATCTAGGAGCAAGTATAAATTTGATGCCACTTTCCATGTGCAGAGCTCTTGGAATCAAAGAGCTAAAGCCAACTACAGTTTCTCTCCAGTTAGCTGATAGATCGATCAGACGACCAGACGGGGTAATTGAGGATGTTTTAGTTAAAATTGAAAAATTTATCTTCCCTGCAAATTTTGTAATTCTGAATATGGAAGAAGATGTTGAGATTCCCCTACTGCTTGGGAGGCCATTCCTAGCCACTGCAAGAGCAATGATCAATATGGAGCAAGGAAAACTGATGCTGAGGATGAACGAAGAGACAATCACCATTGATGTCTTCGAGTCAATGAAACATCCGTCAGTTGGAGGAGACTATTTCATGTAGTTGATGACACGATGAAATAAGAGAGTTCCCCACTCGAGTTAGAGCAAATCAACGAAGAAGCTGAACTTGCTGATAAAGAACCAATGGTGCAAGAACTAGAAAGAAAGAAAGATGACATCCCTCTTGGAGCACCAAAGGTGGAGCTTAAGGAGTTACCTCCGAATCTGAAATATGCTTTCCTTGGTGACAACAACACTTATCCAGTCATCATCAATGTTGAACTGACAACCATGGAAGAAGAAAAACTTCTCAAAAGAGACACAAAGCTATCATAGGATGGTCCTTCTCTGACTTAAAAGGTATAAATCCTTCCTTTTATACTCATATAATTCTAATGGAAGATGATGTTAAACCTGTTAGGCAGCCATAAATAAGACTCATTCCAACCATGAAAGAGGTTGTAAGGAAAGAGGTAGTTAAACTGTTAGATGCAGAAATGATCTATCCTATATCTGATAGTGCATGGGTAAGTCCAGTACAAACTGTACCCAAGAAAGGTGGAGTCACTGAGGTAAGAAACAAGAACAATGAGTTGATTCTAACAAGGACAGTCACCGGATGAGGATATGCGCTGACTACAGAAGACTAAATGCAGCCACTCGGAAGAACCATTTCCCGATTTCTTTCTTGGACCAGATGTTGGAGAGACTAGCTGGCCATGCATACTACTGCTTCCTGGATGGGTACTCGGGTTATAACCAGATAGCAGTAGCTCTAGAAGTTCAAGAGAAGACAGCATTCACATGCCCTTACGGAGTCTTCGCTTACCGAAGGATGCCCTTCGGCCTGTGCAACGCTCGGGCAACTTTTCAAAGGTGTATCCTTTCTATCTTTTCTGATATGATAGAAAAATCTATTGAGATCTTCATGGATGACTTTTCTGTTTTTGGCCCCTCTTTTGACATTTGCGTAGAAAATTTATCATGTGTTTTACAAAGATGTCAAGATAGTAACTGTAACATCCCGCCTAATTAGGAAATTATATAACTTGCACTTAGGGATGTGGAACATGATTAAAATTTCGAAGTAAATCTGAGTAGAGTTGGATTAATTTAAGTAGGAAAAAATTATTTTGTGGTTGTTAGTGTAAGTGAGCATATGTGAATATTTTAAGAGATTTATGACACTATTAAGAAGGGGTAGAATTACAATTAATTATAATATATGTAGGAATTCTAATTACTACCTAGTGGAAACATGAATTAATAATTAATATGCATATATTTTATGTGACAAGTGAACCTTTCATGAATTAATAAATAATATGTACACATTTCATGTGATAAGTGAACTTAAGTAATCACTCACAAAATCTGTATACTTGCCATGGATTGGTCAAAAGGTGGCCACATGGCAATTCCTATCCATCTTTAATCCACCAACACTTGCACCAATTAGAAGAGAGAACTTTTGTTGCATGAATGCCTATTGGCCATAGCAGCCACATCACTACCCTAGCACCTATAAGGACCAAAAGCCATCTTATCCTTCTTATTTTTCCTTCCTTGCTGTAACCGTGAATCAGAAATTAGGACAATTTCTACTCTCCCTATGCGCTGATTGGTGATGCAATAAGCTAACCTTATCTTTATTTTTAAACTCAACCACATATCCTTCTTTCTTGTTTCCTCCATGCGCAAGGCAAAGACCATCTTTAGAAAAATAAATTGCTTCTCTTTGATTTAGCACACAAAACCGTATACAACATGCAAGCCTCTACCCTTCCCCTCTGGCTCAAACGACGCATAACTTGGAGGAGATGAAATGCCTCCTTCGATCCTACTCATTCTTACCGGGACCGACCCTGAGTGAGGTCCACACTGTGTGCACTTGGTACATCTCTGTTTGTAAATCTTCCCCTGCATGCAGCGGCAACTGACCCCCTTTTTGGAGCCTAGGAAGAGCAAAGGTGATACTCAGGGTGTGGAGATTATTCCCTGCAAATACCTAGAGAGAAGTTTAGGTCACATATGAGTAGAGGTAAACTGAACCTTAAGCCATTTTAATTTCATCTATTCGGCCTGTATGGACATTAATAAGAAACTGAAATTTTGTCATCCTCTTCCTTTCCTTGGTTCGGTTGGACCTGATCAAACGAGGACATGAGGTGCTCTTATGTTCTGTATTTGATGGAAACCGTTTGATGTTGATGACGATTCCCTTTGCATGCATATTGGTTGCATATTGGTAGATCGATTTCTCGCATAGGAGGAGGGGGAAGGTACTGTTTCACTTTTGGTTGATGCATTGGATATGTCCGGAACATTTTGGTACGTTTGAGGAGGTAAAAGATCAAACCTCTCACTTCTCTTTCATTCTCTGTTTCAGTTGCCACGTGTAGCCTAGGAAATTCTATATTTTTAGCAATTGTCTTTCCTTCTCGGTTTATCAGGGAAACCGTAGCCTGTGGTGTGGTTGAGCACAAAGGAACGAAATTTGGGAGCTTGGAAATGGCTCCCTATAGAATTCATGAAACTGTCCTTGAATTAAAAAAATAAAATAGCCCTTGCATGTGCTTAAGAATATGTAAACAGAAAGTTGTATGCCTCTCTAGTGCACTTTAGTTATTGTAAATCAGTTTATGTAAACGTATAGGAAATCATGAAATGAATTCTGAATTGTAATACTTGTATTTAGGTGTACAAATCTCGTAGGGAATGGACCTTGTTGTTTTTCTGCACTTGTAGATAAATGGTAAATAAAATTTAGATCAGAAAGTTAATAATTATTAGAAGCTCTTGTTCATGCTTAAGAAACCGATTTAGGGGTTTGGGAAATAGTTCTCTTTATTTTGTTGAGCTGCACCTTGGAATAGCAAGATTTGTTAAGGATTACATGTTTTAATTTTTGAAAACAGAATGCTCTTAGCTTTTATAGCACACCCTAAATCTTGTAAACGAGGTCATTTAAATAATAAATGAGTAACATCTATTTATGGGGCAAGGAACCGAACCTACATGCCTAGACAATTATGATTATGTCACTAATTATCTATTGATGAAACAAACTTTAAGCCAAAACAATTAAATTAGCACAAGAACCTTGAAACCGGACTTGATTCAAGCCTTGTAGGTATTATAAACTCTTGAAGATAGCATGTTGAATAATTTATTAGCTCATGCATTAGTAATGAAGTTAATGTTCTGTTAAAGAAAAGTCATAAGCATCTAGTGATGATTGAAAACCGAGTATGCATGTGGGGAATACATCGGAATTTGTCAAATTAGGACAATTGGTAAATTAATATAATGGCAGAAAATTCGCTTAATGTATGTGCAAGGAAACCGATTATAAATCAAGGATTAGGAGAATGGGACAGCTGTGTAATATGTAGAAAATAAACGTAATAAATTTTGATTTGATGTATGTGTTTGTTTAGGCGCACAAGTTCTTAGATAATGGGACTGTTCGATGATGTTTGGAATGCTTGATTTAAAAGTAAAGTGCCAAGGTATGTGTTTGGTGGTGAGACCTGCTGTGACTATTAGCTAGAGTATGGAATTTTGAACTGATGCTCACATGTGCGTTATGCTTAGTATTCAGTTATATGATATATGTAATCTGCCTTTGGACTTGTCTTGATGGAAAATTCTGTTTATGGAAGTATTTGTTAGTTGGCAGCTTGGTATTACATATACAAGAGATATATGTTATATGATAATGATCTAGTCATGCATATGCACTTCATGTTTCATCTGTGTCTGTTTGTGTGTGTGTCAAACATGTCATCACATAACGCATTATGCATTCATCTTGGAGACTGAAATATATAATAAATAAGCATATGTTTGAGCACGCATCATATAGGCATCCCTCCGGTACCAGGGTATGGGACACTTGGCTTCAGTCCGCATAGGTTACAGTTGGAACCCTCTGAGGAGCCATTAAGGGAGGGACCTTCACTGTACTTGTTAAGTACGGGCATGACGGTGCTGTAAATGCACTCTTGGCGTTATATACGCAATATGATTAGTACTTTGGCGTTATGTACGCACTATGATTATTATGTTGGCATCTATCTGGGAAAAATTAAATGTTGATGCGACTGTTTTAGAATTTTGTACCTAGTCTAATAGTGTTGCTGTATTGGTTTTATTGCCACACTACTGGGGTTTTTCTCACCCCTTCGGGGGATGCATTTTATAAATTGCAGGAAGATAAATAAATATTGGGTAAAGCATGTCATTGGAAGTATTTGGTTGATGCCCTGCTGTTTAAGGATTATTGTTGTTAGTTCTGTTTCTGTTGGATTAGATGCTGAAAGATTATATGCAATAAGGTGTTATGAAGATTAGCAAACTTGTTTCATGATTTGACTTCTGAAAATTTGATGAAGCATTTCTGAACTATGTAATTATGTTTATGTGTATTATTCTGAGAATTATGCATGATGTGATTGCCGTTCCGATATCCTACTTATGTTATGTTTACTTTCAAAGCGTTGGACATGATTTAATTAAGTAATAGTGTGAAATATTTTGAAGAATTACATGATAGGAATTATAATCTGTTTTGAAAAAGAAACGCAGCAGATTATGTATATGTTTGGTATTTAGTTTGCGAAAATAATTCTGCTGTATTTTTTTTTTTTTTTTGATAACATTCTGCTGTATTTTAAAAATTCGGATTTTTGCACTGTTTTTATAAGCACTTCGCAAGTTGTCGTTCTGGGGCTACAGACCTCCGATTGAGATATATTTTATATGGATGTAAAGCCCCAGCTGTGTACTTTCAGATTATGTAAACCTTACAATGAAATTTTGAAAACTAGAATTACTATAATTTTTACAAGTCAGGAGGTTTTTTGGAAAATACACTGAATTTTGAGGAACTTGCGAGTTCTGTTTCGTGGGGCTAGAGACCTCCGATTCGCGTATAATTTATATGTACGCGATGTGTAACACCCCGCGTATACTCGGAATATTAACATTACATCGTATTAAGCGGTGCTTAATTAAAAATGCGGAATATTCTTTTTCTTTTCAATTATGACGTCATTATCAATTACCAACTTGATTACTTAATCAATTTCATAAAATATCGCCTGTATGTATATTGCAATAAGACATCTACTGAAATACCTCAATATATAGATAAAGCGTGTATCTAAATCACGACATTACATCAAGTAATCCGAACAATATCCTGATACATTAATACAACTCCAAAAGAGTCAAGACATAATCAAAACATACCCACACTATGTGTCATGGACAATCCCCATGCTCACCAAATAAACATAATAAACAACCAGTCTCATCATAAAACTCCATAAATATAACTGAAGCTATAAGCATATAAACAACATGCAAATCCAACATCCAATCATGGCAGCATAATATAACAGCAATCTAACTCAGCTCCGGCCTCCTGCCGCCTGAGGTCTCAACATTACCTGACCCTGAAATAAGCATTCCCCAAACGTGGGGTGAGATCTCTAAACTAGAAATCTCAGTAAGACAAGGGGTCCTCAAGGATCTTCCACCCCAAGCTCACTTACATGTGCAATATAAGTTCAAAAAGCATTTATATCATTATCAGTTCCAAAATTATGTAGTGCAACAGATATCTATGGCATGTGTGTAATCACTATCTACTGGCCAGAGAAATGTAGGAATACGTCTATTCCCTACATGTAGTACAAGGAACACCGCTTGCACCTCACCCACAACCTCACCCTCTTGTATGTTCTACATACTCAGGCTTACCGTATAGGTGGAACACCTCCATGCATATCAACAAGGCACTAACATATAATAGCTCAACAGCATTTCCAAAACATCAAAAGCATGTAACACAACATGCATATACCATATCCCCATGGGACATGGTGGAACCACAACATGGCTAAACCGAGGACACGAAAGCTTACCTCTAAGCTAGCTATCCAATGCCACAAGCTCAAAGTCCAATCACAGCAGATCACAATCTGATATGGACCAAATATAAATCAATAACATGTACCACATGCATACAAATTAAAGACAACGCCTTTTCATTATGTTTTCAAGTCTTAAAGCTTCTAACAAAGCCACAAGCCCTTAATCCCATGATTCTGGCTTAGACCAATACATACAGAAGTTCAACTTCATCAAACTAGGGTCCACAAGCCCCCAATAGCCTACTGTACACACAACACAGCTACTGTTCTGCGAAATCCCAGAATATCCGGATATTCCTCGGGACCATATCCGGATATGCAATATCCGGATATGCAATATCCGGATATCTCACTGTCCATATCCGGATATGCAATATCCGGATATACAGATTCACATATCCGGATATCCAATATCCGGATATCCTAAAACCACATATCCGGATATCCAATATCTGGATATCTGTTCGACAAATATTCGGATATTTCACGACAGAATGCAGTTTCTGCATTTTCGTGAAGATATCCCTTAAAGGTTCCCTTTTTACCGATTTTAAACTCCTAATCATGCATTTCTAGGCGTGTTCAACATTACCCAACAACAAGTTATCATCTTTTAGTCATTAGATGCATCAAGGTACCATTTTTAAGCCTTAAAACTTCAAGTTAAAGGTTGGTACAACATACCAAGGCTCAAAACTCAGAATGGAGATGCTCTTGGAGCTCAACACAGCCCCTCAAGTCTGACCCAAGGAAGATGCACGAAAATGGCTTCACAAAGGTTGGTTCTTTAACACAAAGGTCACCACTTGGACCTCCAAAAACCAAAACCAAGCTTCTCCCAACCCAAAACCAACAAGTCAGCAACCAAACCTCCCTCACACAGACTTCACAACTCAGAAACAACACCACAAACCCCTTCCCAAAGGTGACTCTCCCTCACACAAGTGTTTAAGAAGAAGAAACCACAAAGAACAAGGAAGAAATGGCTCCAAGACTCTCAAGGAAGAAGAACACAGCAATGGAACAGTGCCAAGGTGCACTCAGCCACCAAGTCACGTATAGAATTCTGATCCTAGGGTTTTGTGCCCATAATGGGAGTATTTATAGCCCAAACACACTTAAACACACAGTATTAACTTTAATTGCTATGTTTAGCATTTTAATCCCAAACTTTAGATTATGAAACTACATAATTTTCTAAGATTTATCATATTTTTCTTATATTTTTCTGAGTACCTTTCCGGTACGCGCTTTTCAAAGCCAGTACCGGTTTCTAGCACCAGTTCTCATTATTTGGACTTGAAACTCGTTTTACAAGTCCTACATATTATTCTAGTAATTATCATGCACTTACTTTAATTTTCCGGGATACTTTTTCGGCACGCATTTATACCGACTAGCAGAACCGGTATCTGCACTTTTCTTCCGAAAAACGACTTTCAACATTCTTAATCACCTATTATGATTATTAAGCCCCATAAATAATTATTAGGGTAAATTATGGAATCATTTCCTATTTTTCATAATTAATTAATTAAATACCTTAATTAACGGTGCGGGTTCTTACATTCACCCCACCTTTTTAGGATTTTGACCTCAAAATCAGAAATATACCTGGTCGAAACTCGGGGTACTGTCGGAGAAGCTCGTCCTCACGCTCCCAAGTATACTCCTCAGGAGTCCTTCCGGTCCACTGCACCTTGACCATCGGAATGATCTTGCTCCTCAGCTGTTTCTCGCCACGATCGAGAATTCTGAGTGGTCCGATGGGAGTCTTTAGGTTCTCCCGAACCTCCACATCATCCGGATGCACCACGTGCGACGGATCTGCGATGTACTTCCTAAGCTGAGACACGTGAAACACGTCGTGGATGTTAGCCAGGTTCGGAGGCAAGGCAAGCCGGTAGGCAACAGGTCCTACTCTACCAAGGACAGGTGAAAGTCTCACAAACACGTGCTCAGCTTCCTCACTCCGAGTGCCCGACCTACACCGGTGACAGGTGAAAGTCTCACAAACACGTGCTCACCCTCACTGAACTCCAGCGGACGATGCTTGATATCATAATAGCTCTTCTGGCGATTCTGCGCCTGCTTCAACTTTTCACGGATCATCTGGATCTGCAAGGTGGTATCTTGGACAAAATCCAAGCCAAAAAGCTCCATGTCCCCAACCTCAGACCAACAAGTAGGAGTCCGACACCTCCTACCATACAGTGCTTCGTAGGGCGCCATGTCTAGGCTAGCATGAAAGTTGTTGTTGTAAGAAAACTCAACCAACGGAAGGTACCTATCCCATGCCGAGCACTGCTCCAATGTGAAAGCTCGCAACATGTCCTCCAAGGTCTGGATGGTCCTCTTAGTCTGTCCATCAGTCTGAGGGTGATAGGCGGTACTCAATCTCAACTGCTACCAAAAGCCTCCTGCAGCGCCTCCCAGAACCGAGATGTGAACTTCGGGTCCCTATCACTAATGATACTCTCGGGCACCCCGTGAAGCCTCACAATCTCGCGGACATAAAGCTTGGCCAACTGCTCTGTAGTGAAGCTCACCTTCACTGAAAGAAAATGGGCAGACTTCGTCAGTCTGTCCACAATGACCCAAGTAGAGTCACAACCCGCCTGAGTCTTCGGCAATCCCACCACGAAGTCCATGGAAATACCTTCCCACTTCCACTGTGGTACTTCAAGAGGTTGAAGTTCACCAGACGGTCTCTGATGCTCAATCTTCACCTTCTGGCAAACCAAACACTTGGACACAAAGATAGCAACATCTTTCTTCATGCCCGGCCACCAGAAGTTCTTCTTCAAGTCTTGATACATCTTAGTAGCACCAGGGTGGATAGAAAACTGACCTTTATGGCCTTCTGCCATAACCTCCTCTGTCAACGGGCCTCGAGGAACTACAATCCTCTGCTGAAACAAAAGCAATCCATCATCATTCCAAGACACACCGTCTTGGTTCTTCACATAATCTAGACACTCTCTCTGAACTTGTGCCTCTTTAATCTTTTCAAGCAGCTCGTTCACAACCTCAGATGCTTCCAATCCGAGAAGTACACTCTCACACGGAGCGGTCACTGCCAAGTTGCGGAACTTCTCAACCACATCGAAGTTACCAAGTAACAAACTGGATGAAGTACTGGATTTCCGACTCAAAGCATCAGCTACCACATTGGCCTTGCCAGGATGATACCTTAGCTCGAAGTCGTAGTCCTTTATGAACTCCATCCATCTCCTCTGCCTCATGTTCAACTCCTTCTGGTCGAACAGGTACTTCAAACTCTTGTGGTTACTGAACACCACAAACCTCAAACCAAAAAGATAATGCCTCCAAATCTTGAAAGCAAACACAATAGCAGCCAACTCCAAGTCATGAGTAGGGTAGTTCTCCTCATGAGGTTTCAACTGCCTCGAAGCATAGGCGATCACTTTGCCCAACTGCATCAACACACAACCTAGCCCCTTCCCGGAGGCGTCGGTGTAAAGCTCAATCTCAAGCGCAGGATCAGGAAGGACCAACACAGGAGCAGTAGTCAGTCTCTCCTTCAACTCCTGAAAACAGACCTCACACTCGTGAGTCCACACAAATGGAGTCTCCTTCCGAGTAAGGCGAGTCAATGGCAAAACCATGGTGGAGAATCCCTTGATGAACCTCCGATAGTAACCTGCCAAACCCAGAAAGCTCCTCACTTTCATAACTGTCTTGGGTCTCTCCCAATCCAGCACGGCCTCAATCTTGTTCGGATCCACTGCAACTCCCTCAGCAGAAATAACATGCCCAAGGAACTTCACAGCCTTGAGCCAGAACTCACATTTGGAAGGCTTCGCATACAGCTTCCTCTCCTTTAGCACTTGCAGAACAGTTCTCAAATGCCCCCCCACATGCTCCTCCTCCGTCTTGGAGTAAATCAAAATGTCGTCAATGAAGACGATCACAAACTGATCCAGGTACAGCTGGAAAATCCTGTTCATGTAATCCATGAACACAGCGGGTGCATTGGTGAGACCGAACGGAATCACCAAGTACTCAAAATGACCATATCTCGAGCGAAATGCGGTCTTCGGGACATCCTCCGGCTTCACCCGAATCTGATGGTATCCGGACCGGAGATCAATCTTGGAATACACACAAGCACCCCTGAGCTGATTCAACAGATCATCAATCCGAGGAAGGGGATACTTGTTCTTGATTGTCACCTTGTTCAGCTGCCTGTAGTCGGTGCACAATCGCATTGTCCCGTCCTTCTTCTTCACAAAGATAACCGGTGCTCGTGATGTGCCTCTGGCAAGTGTGGTTTTTCCATATTAAAATTGATAAGAATTGAGTCACAAAAGAGCAATTTAATTACATATTTGCTAATTATATTGATTCTTTCTTGTCAATAATATTTCTCACGTATTGATTGTATTTTTACAGGAAATAGAACTGAAAAGTATAAAAAGTTAAATGATGTGACTCATCAAATTAGTATCAGTACAATCTCCAGAGAGTTGGCGCAAGTTGACGCCAAAGTGAAGAAATCCCACGCCAAGTTGCGCTGTGCTGCACGCCAAATGCCAGAGAATTGGCGCTAGTTGGCGCCAGAATGGCGCAAACTAGCGCCACCATGCCACCTTGCGCCAAACATGAAGCAAACCGGCGCCCAAAATTACAAAGTCAAGGGAGAATGGCGCCAAGTGGCGCCCAAAAGACCAAGGGTGGCGCCAACTGGCGCCGATTCACGTGCAATTAGTTCCGACTTTCGTATTCGAGGCAGCAAGTTGGCGCAAACGTGCGCCAAACCGGAGCCAACTGGTGCCGGGTTGCGGGAAATTGTACCGTGATGCTATGAGGGTATTTTTGGAAGAAGGAAAAGAGTCCTATAAATAGGATCCTTTTGACAGAATTAAGGATTCCGACCTATTTCTTCAGAAGGAGACCGACGACAGAGCTCAGGAGGATTCTTCTACAGTTCTTCTTCTTCTCTTTTCTCTGTAATTTTATGCTTTTGAATATTGGATTAGTTTTAGCCATGATTATGTTTGGCTAGTTTTCCTTCATTGTGGGTAAGGTCACAAACCCTATGTGAACCTTTTGTTTAGTTATGGATTGATTTACTTTTCGCTCTTTAATTTAATTGATTTATGCCTACTCTGTGCGTATTGCTTATCGTTTATATTAAATCTGATCAGTTTAGTAGTGAATGATAATCTGAGGGTTAGAACCCTAGATAGGAATATTGGGGTTTTGGTCCAGAAAGGGGGTAGGATAATAATTAATATGCGTGCTACGAATAGACGCGTTCTTGATTACAAACGTTTAATTTATCTGTGTAATGTTTGATCTCAATTGAAACATTGCAAGGAATTGGGATTTTAATTGTGATTAAAGGGCTAAATTTGCAAGGAATTGGGGTTTAGCTAATAATTGTTTGGATGATAAATTGTTTGATTGTTTATTTTAATTGAGCAATGTGAATCAATCCGTAGTGAAAAGAGGGGATCATAGAGCGAGTGTACTTACCTGCAATATCTCTCATATTTTTATCCAAATCATTTTGCATCATTCTCTTATTTTTAAAATCCAAAAATACGTCTTTGTCTTTAATTTCTATTGTTCTTCAAATCACTTGGGTTTTATATCTTGAAAGGACGTTTACAAGATATTCGCTCACAATCCCTGTGGAGATGATAACTTACTTATCACTTTATTACTTGAACGATCGGTACACTTGCCGGATTGTATCAAGTTTTTGGCGCCGTTGTCGGGGATTGTGATTTCTTATATCTTATAATCTTGAATTTCAAGATTTTTCTTTCTTTTTGTGATTATTTTATTTTCTTTTCTTTTGTTCTTGTTTTAAATTGTTTTGAACATTGCTACTAATCTTCTCTTGAAGTTTTATGCGAGGCAAAGTTGATCCTACAGAATTGTTATTTGATCCTGAAATTACAAGGTTTGAAAGGCGAAACAGGAGACTTGCTCAAAAGAAATCAAAAGTGCCAAGTGCTCAGTCTGAAGAAGCACCTGAAATCCCAACCATGGCAGCGAATAATGAAGCTGAAAATCCACTTATAGATACCATCCTCTCTCCAGCCTTCAACATGCCTAATTCAAGTATTGTCCAACCGAATATTGCTGACAATAATTGGGAGTTGAAGTCTTCCATAATTCAGTTGGTGGAGAGAGTTCAATTTGGAGGAGATAAGCATGAGGATCCTCACAGGTTCATAGACCGGTTCTTAATGATATGTGACTCAACCAAGCACCCTCGGGTGTCTGATGATGCTATCCGGTTGAGATTATTCCCTTTTGCTGTAAAGGGAGAAGCACTTAGTTGGCTGGAGAGGCAGCCTGCACGGAGCATTGCTACATGGGAGGATTTGTCTACAAAGTTCTTTGCAGAGTTCTTTTCCATGGAGAGATACAATCAAATGGGGAATGATATCACCAACTTCACTCAAACTGAGGGTGAAACATTGTGTGTAGCCTGGAACAGGTTCAAGGACTTGATGAGGAGGTGCCCTCATTATAATTTGACTGCTGGTAATCAAGTCAGAATATTTTTCAATGGCATCACACCTGAAGATAGAATGGTTTTGAATGGTGCAGCTGGTGGTACTATTAAGACCATGAGGGCGAATGAAACTCTGGAGCTGATAGAGAGGATGGCCAGGAATGAAAATCAAGGGGTATCTTCAAAGTCTAAGAAAGGTAGCCTTCATCTAGAAGGTAATGAGTCAGTTCTGGCTGAAAATAAATTGCTAGCTCAACAAATGGCTAGTTTGACTTCTAGGCTTGACAAGATGCAGATCGCGGGAGTTCAAGCTCAGTCTGTTGCCTTTGTCTGTGACTACTGTACGGACAGTCATGCTCCTAATGAATGTCCATCTCTTGCTTCTTCTGATTCACCTCAACAAATGCAGGTGAATGGTATATGGTATGACCAGCGCCCTCAGCAGCCAAATCTTCAGAGAAATCAGAATTTTTCTGGTGGTGGTAACAATTTTCAGCGGAGAGCTCAGGGAGTTGGCATGGATTTCAAATCTAATACTTATAATCAGCCTTCACAGAGTCAACAACGAGAGCCTGCTGAGTGGGAAAAAGCCTTTGCACAAATGGCCAAGACTTCTAATGAGATGGCTCAGACCACTAATACCTTTATGGAGGAGACTAGAGCCAACAACAAAAATACAAATGCTTCCATCAAGAACCTGGAGAATCAGATAGGACAATTGGCAAAGCAAGTTTCAGAAAGAATTCCAGGTACTTTTCCAAGTAATACAGTTATCAATCCAAAGGAAGATTGCATGGCTATTATTACTAGAAGTGGCAAAGTGGTAGCGCCTCTTAAAACTCCAATTCTAGATTGTGCGGAAGAGGACGAGAAGCATGATGGAGCAGTTGAGCCAGAGGTTGAGGTAATTGTGAAAGAAAAAAACAAAGAAATTGTTACTGAAAAAGAAAAGGTTGCAGAGCGACCTGTTGTGGTTGAAAAAGAGCATGAGCTGAGTCCTGAATATGTGCGGTCTAAAGCACCTTACCCAGAGAGGTTCAAGAAAGAGGCTTACAACAAACAGTATGGCAGGTTTTCAGACATCTTCAAGAAGCTGCACATAAACATCCCTTTTGCAGAAGCTTTAGCAAGTATGCCTGGTTATTCAAAATTCATGAAGGATCTTTTGTCAAGGAAGCATAAGCTACAGGAATGCCAGACAGTGACACTTACTGAGAAGTGTAGTGCCTTTATTCAGCAGAAGATTCCGGCTAAGCTTAGTGATCCGGGGAGTTTTAATATCCCTATTGCTATTGGCGATATTTGCATTGGTCGAGCTCTTTGTGATCTAGGGGCTAGTATCAATTTGATGCCTCTTTCTGTTTATAAGTCTTTGGGGATTGAAGAATTGAAGCCTACAACGGTCTCTCTTCAACTTGCTGATAGATCCGTGAGGACACCTAATGGGATTATAGAAGATGTCCTTGTCAAGGTTGACAAGTTTATCTTTCCTGCTGACTTTGTGGTGTTGGATATGGAGGAAGGAAGTGGGAAGCCTTTGCTCTTAGGTAGGCCCTTTTTGGCTACAGCCCGTGCTCTAATAGATGTTGAGCAAGGAATGATTAAGTTGAGGATGAATAATGAGGAGATTACTTATAATGTTTCTGAGGCTATGAAAAGACCCGCTGAGCATAGTGATTGTTTTCAAATTGATGTTTTTCAAGAAATCGTTCAACAGAAGAAGGTGCGTCCTCAAGAGATTGATTATGAGTTGAGAGCCTGTGAACATATGCCCTTTGAAAAAAAGGAAGTTGCTGTGGAGGTGCTTAAAGAAAAAGTTGATGACATAGAGGTTGGGGCACCTAAGGTTGAATTGAAAATTCTGCCTAATACTTTGAAATATGTATTCTTGGGAGATGAAGAGACGTACCCTGTAATCATCAATAAGGGACTATCTTCTGACCAAGAAAAGAAGCTGGTTGAAGTTCTAAAAACTCATAAGACTGCCATAGGGTGGTCTATTTCTGATTTGAAGGGAATAAGCCCCTCTGTTTGCACGCACAAAATTCTCATGCAAGATGACATCAAACCTGTAAGGCAACCGCAAAGAAGGCTAAACCCGATGATGAAGGAGGTGGTCAGAAAAGAAGTTGTGAAGCTTCTTGATGCAGGTATGATTTACCCTATTTCAGATGCTGCTTGGGTAAGTCCGGTTCAGACAGTTCCGAAGAAGGGTGGTGTGACTGTAGTCAAAAATGCAAAGCATGAGTTAATTCCAACTAGAACCATCACAGGTTGGAGAATGTGTGTGGACTACAGAAGGTTGAACACAGCCACAAGGAAAGATCATTTTCCATTGCCCTTTATTGATCAGATGCTGGAAAGACTGGCAGGCCATGATTATTATTGCTTCTTGGATGGGTATTCAGGCTACAATCAAATTCCTGTAGCTCCTGAAGATCAGGAGAAGACAGCTTTCACTTGCCCATTTGGAGTCTTTGCTTATAGACGAATGCCATTCGGCCTCTGTAATGCACCTGCCACTTTCCAAAGGTGTATGCTCTCTATCTTTTCTGATATGGTAGAGAAATATTTAGAGGTATTTATGGATGACTTCTCAGTCTTTGGTTCTTGTTTTGATTCCTGTTTAGATAATTTATCTAAAGTTTTACAAAGATGCCAAGAGACTAACCTTGTTCTGAATTGGGAGAAGTGCCATTTTATGGTTAATGAGGGTATTGTTTTGGGGCACAAAATCTCAAGGAGTGGGATTGAAGTTGATAAAGCTAAATTGATTTTGATTGAGCAACTTCCCCCTCCTGTTAATGTTAATGCTGTTAGGAGTTTCCTAGGACATGCAGGTTTTTACAGGAGGTTCATCAAGGACTTCTCTAAGGTTGCTAAACCATTGAGCCAACTCTTGGTGAAGGACTCAGAGTTTATATTTGATGATGCATGTCTGAAGGCTTTCAATTTGTTAAAAGAGAAGCTTACTACAGCTCCTGTGCTTACAGCCCCTGATTGGAGCCTTCCTTTTGAGCTCATGTGTGACGCCAGTGCTTATGCAATTGGTGCTGTCCTCGGTCAGCGTAAGGAAAAATTATTACATGTCATTTATTATGCTAGCAAAGTCTTGAATGAAGCTCAAGTTAATTATGCCACAACTGAGAAAGAAATGTTAGCAGTAGTTTATGCCTTGGATAAATTTAGGCCTTATTTGTTAGGATCCAAAATCATTGTTTTTACTGACCACTCTGCTATCAAGTTTTTGATGACTAAACAGGATGCTAAACCACGACTGCTGAGGTGGATGTTATTATTTCAAGAGTTTGACATGGAGATCCGAGACAAAATTGGGGTAGAGAACAAAGTGGCGGATCATCTGTCAAGAATCCAAGAGAAAGAGTTGCAAGAGAGTCCTGACAAAGAAATCAACGACTATTTTCCTGATGAGAAGGTGATGGCTATCTTTGTTCCTCCATGGTTTGCAGACATTGCTAATTACAAAGTTGTGCGAGAGCTGCCTCCTAATCTTACTCGGCAACAACAAAAGAAGTTTCTGCGGGATGTGAAGAGGTATTTCTGGGATGATCCGTACTTGTATTTTCAATGTGCTGATGGTATCA